GCAACAAACCAAAAGCTTAGCAAAAAAAAACGAATCACAAATAATTAGATGAAAACCGTTAGTCCCCGGCAACGGCGCCAAAATTTGATAGGCTTATCGCGTACCTAACAAAAATAACCTAACTATTCCTTCTAACTGTGTAGTAGGGCAAGTAAGGATCGAATCCCAAGAGACTATGGTTCATTCAATTAATCAGACTCAATTAATCACTAAGCACGTGACCAATCAATAATGGATGATAATAATCAACTAATTTATTAAATAACACAATTAACTAGAGGAAATATTAATCAATAAACTAAAGCATCCAAGATCAAGCATCACCACGATTATGATTGATAAACTAATAAATCTACCCCCAATATATAAATCAATTGACAAGAAGAAAAGCAATCCCTAATAATAATACCAAAGGTCTCTTCCGAGTTATCAATGGCTTCCCAAATTAACTATCAAGCCTACTTCCGTGGAATCAAGCGAATAAGGGACATTAAACACCATGCCTAGATTCCTAATTATTCAATCATCTACTTCCGTGATGATCTTCAAACCCTTAATTGAAATAACCTAATCCCGTTAATACCCAACTTCCGTTGCAATAAGAACAAAGGGATGATAACAATACTAATTATCCCTAATCTAGTATTGGCATAAACACAATCAATTAAGCATGTCAATTGGGATTATTATTGGGGAATTTAAAGTTTTAATTCATGCATCAATCATAATTGGGCTACCCTAGATCTTGGAATAGAAAATCTACTCACACATATTGAAAGAAACAATAACAATCATGAATATGGAAAACATAATTGAAAAGCAATTATAATTGAAAGAGAATGAAGTAGAAGTGAATACCAAGGATTCTTCAATTGAAAGGAATTAAATTGTTGAAAAACAATGCTCAAATCTAATGGAAAGAATTAAAATTGCTTCAAAGTAATAAACTAGAACTCTAGAGAGAGAAAGAGGAATAATGGAAAACTTAAAACTTCTTTCTAATGAAGATTACAAGGGGTATTTATACCCTTAATGACCTAAAAATAAGAAAATAATAATACGGAGTGTCGCATAACTGTGCCCGGTCCAACCGGGCAAGCACCTCCCGATCGGGCGGTGAGAGTACGGAGTTGCTTTCCTTCGTAGCACTTCTTCCACCACGTGCCCGGTCCAACCGGGCTGACCTTGCCCGATCGGGCGCGTGGGGCGGTCTTCATAAATTGCTTTCTACCTTCGAAAATACCAAAAATCATCTAACTCCTATGTGCCCGGTCCAACCGGGCGGACCATGCCCGATCGGGCACGTAGAGGCTGCAGCAAATAGTTTGTATTTAACTCATCTTAAATCAGTCATAACTTCATATCCGGAGCTCTGTTTGAGGCGTGTAATATATCGTTGGAAAGGTCTTCAAGTCTACTTTCCAATGCAATTTGAATCACTCCATTATCATTTGTATATCAAAAGTTATGAGCATAATAGTGAACAGGTGTCATATTTGTCAAGTATTTCATCAACGTTTTGCTTCATTTTCACTCAAGTTCGTCTCGAACACATGATTTGATATTCTTAAGCAATATGTTTTCATACTCCATGATTATTATACTCAATATTAGCCAACCATACTCCATTTGCATATAAATCACCTGAAATTCATCAAAACACACAAACGAAGAGTAGTAGAGCACAACTTAAGCAAATAATGCAAATATGCACCAAAGATCTCTAATTTTGTAATAAAATGAGCTTAGATACCCACCTAAAACATGTGCAAAATAGGACTTATCACCCCCCCAAATTCATTCCAATACCTCCAATCAACCTCTGGAAATATATTTTGGCACCTTTTATCACCCCTTGGAAATATATTACGGTGCCCTTAATCAACTCCCAGAAATATATTCCGGTAGCCCAAATCAACCCCCAGAAATATATTCTGATACCCCTAATCAACTCCCGGAAATATATTCTAGTACCCTTTGTCAACCCCCCCCCCCCCAAAAAAAAAAAATATCAGCAGTATGTAGTCGGCAATCTTCATTCCCTGTAAAATTTACTCCAGCATTTGACCTTAAGATTCAACAATTTCCAGCATAGTAGAACCAAGTGTGATTGCATACAGTTTTTTTTTTGTTGTTGAAACGGTTAAGGGTGATTGCATAACTTATAATAGGACAAAAAATGATTTAGATTAAAATAGGGTAAAATTGGAAATATAAGTTGTGAGTTACTTAAAACTATCCTGCATGTAGGTAAATTGTTACCTGCATTTAGTACCACCCTAATATGAAGAAAAGTTGTGGCTTGGTTGCCGGAAACTTGGAATATCCTTATCTAAAGCCAAATCGAAAATCATGGAAAAGAAATCAAGTGGCAAACTTGTAATTTAATTGTTTAGCTCAATGTAGAGACATAAGGCCAAAAATAATTTAATTGGTTAGCTCAATGTAGAGACATAAGGCCAGAAATGTTAGTGGTGTTAGCAATTTTAGTAGAGGCAATCCTAAATTTTAGACTTGGCGTTTTTTAATATCAAATCTCATGTCTAAATCCACAAATGACGGCTTTGTCTGGCCAAATTGGACTATTTGAACTTTTCGGGCCAAATTTAGGTTTTTAACTAAAATAAAAAATATATTTCAGCTTGCCAAAATTCGTCCCTTTTCCGGGCTGGGTCGTAGTTGATCACCTCTAGTTTTACCCAAACTATTAGAGAGAGAGATTGCTATATATACCATGGTGTACCGTACACCCATGAGTATTTTGTTATCATTTTTATTGTTTTTCATTTAGTTTGCTTTTTTCGTTTATCATCATGGGGATAAAATGGGGCTTGTTTATCCGAATCAGATTCATACCTTATAGAAATTTTAAGATAACTCTATTGAATAGTGCTTGGATATTTATAACCACTAAAAAAATTATTTATTTATTTATTTACCCTCAATAATGTTAATTGGCCTTTTTTTTTAACTCTTAGCAATAGTGTGGACATTTATACTCCTAAAAATATTTGTTTATACATTTTCCATCACTGGTGCTGCCAACAGCTAAATTCGTGATTAGGTTTAGCTGAAAGAGATCCCGGATATAGGTAGTTATGGGTGTGCATCGCGAGTGTTAACCTTCCTAGTATAATAATAATAATACTAGATGAAAGCCCGTACAATGCACGATTTTTCATCTAAGGTTTTAATTATTTGATTTATTGTATTTTATAATTTCAGATAAAATTACAAAAGTTTAATTTAATTTTTTATTCATTTTAATTGAATTTATTATATATAAATAAATTGTAAATATGATATTTCATCTATTTTTTTTCAAACAAATCAATTCATTAATAAAAAACCATCTGTCATCTACAAATGAAATCTAAATTAACAAATACATAAAATTGAATCAAACTAGGGTTTCCTTCATCAAAGCTACGATCGTTGAAAAAATCTTGCACTGTAGTACATCTCGCGCACACATCGCTGGAATATACAACCTTTTTGGAGAGACGGTCTAATGATTTGTTGTATTCGTAAGGATGATTTTCATTTGATTCGCTTGAAGGCATTCGAAAACTTGATAGTTGTTGCGATCCCGAACAAATCTTTACCAACGAATTGACAATAGGGCAAAAGATGATTACCTTTTTGATAAACCCTAACACACAAACAAACTCTAAATGCAAACAAACAACTAAACTAACATAAACTAACGACTCCACCATAGGGAGACGGGCGAATATCAACACTAGTGTAGATTTATTGAAACCTAAATTGCAAAACTAAAGAAATTAAGTGAAAAGGGGCGGAAATAGTCTAATTTCCGGCCTAAAAGGCCAAGATTTTGGATAAACCCTAGAAAAGAGGAGGAGAGAAGAGGAAAGGCGAGAGAATTTGAAATCTATATATTTCATCTGTTACATACTTATATAATATCTTTAATGTGAAAAGATAGATTTTTAATTTTTTAAATAATTTAAATCCTAAATCATTATTTGTTGTTTTTTGTATACCATATCTTTTATTTCGATAGATTCACCAACTACAGTGAAATGTTAGCAAAAATAAAATTATATTTTTCCACGTGATGTATGTTAATTCTGCAATAATCCTAAATCATTATTGACCAGCACATTTGCCAACACAAAAAATTGACCAATAATATCGTTAATAATCAAAAATGAAAAATGCATGTTAATAATCTCCCTTTGCCCAATTTATTTTGAATAATCAATAATCCAAACTTTTTTATGCGTTTTCTTTATTTCTTCAATCCCGTAAACTAATAATCTAATTAAATGGTTAAATTTTTTTTAAAATAAAAAATTATAGTTGCCATGTGACATATGTTAATTGGTTAAAAAAAACTAAATAAACAAAAATAAATAATAAAATAAACATAAAAAAGAAATAAAATAAAATAAAACCCTAAATCTAACAGCCACCACCAAAGCCGATGGGCACTCCCACCCCTTCTTTTCCCTAGCCTTGAAAATCACTGATGTTGCATTAAAAGGGAGGGAGGATCGATTTCGAAGGTGGAGGAGGATTGATTTAAAAATATTCTTACAAAATTATTAGTTTTATGATAAAATTGAATTATATGATTGATCAATAAGTATTCTCATTATTTCGGATAAGTAAATATAAAATTTTGGGTCATTTCACTCAGGGGATATGTGCGATCGATCACCCTACACACGCTCAAAACCATCACTGAATGTATAACCATAGCATGGTGCAAGGATAAGAATTACCCCCACTAACAGCTACTTCCTATGTTCTTTTTTACTTGAGCCGCTTTGACTTTTACACTCTTCACCACCCCTCTATTATCCATCTTTTGAAATTATATGTACAGAAAAATATACTGATAAGAAATATTGTTAAAATCGACCAAATAAGTACTATCATAATAAATAGGAAATTTTGTCAGGAAAAATCATTTAAAACAACTTTTTGTTGGAAAAAAATCTTATAATTTTTTTTGGCAAGAAACCAGATTGTAATTTTTTTTTTTTATTGAGGATAACCTGAAATCTCTAGTCACTCAATTAACCTCTAATTTCCCATTAATTCTTCTAATTACTCATAACTCTTACTAATTAAACTATTTATAATTAAGTTTATTTATAAATTAAAAAAAAAAAAACAAAAACCACCCTCAGCTCACTACCACCCGCCAGCCACCCTCTCCTTCTCCCCCTCCTGTGGTGTGCAGTGGCAGCAGCCCCCTCCCTCATCTCCAACCCCAACCCCCATCGACCAACCTCTATCGCCGAACCGACCTCCTCCCTTTCCCTTTTACCCTCGCCGCGATCACCCTACTAAACCCTAACCCAAAATTTCCACCCAAAGAAACCCCTCACACTAGATCTTCTTCTCCTACGGTCAGTTATCTCTCTTTCTCTCTCTTAATCTTGATTTGTTCATTAGTTGTAGTTGTGATGGAATTGTTGAGTTTTATTAGCTTTTTGGTTGATTGAATTGGCAATTGATTGAATTTTTGTTGATTATTTTAATGGAGAAAGTTAGCGAGTAATTCGCTGAATGAAATCCGTCAGTTTGGGCGGCGAAATCTAATGTAGATCATCAACATCTGTTCGAACTGCTGTCGCACCAAAATCGATACCAGTATCAGCACAAGCACAGGTAGCATCATTGAAATCGGTACCAATACCAGCACAAAGCACCGGTACCAGCACCAATACCTATAATAACGAAGCTACCACCAATCCTACATGGACAATATGGTGGGAATTAGTTTTAAACCCAACGCAAATAGGGAATTATTTAATCTTTAAGCAATTTTGAGGGAAATTATTCAATTATTAATAGTTAAAATACTAATTAACAAGCATAATTAATGAAACAAGACAAGTAAAAAAGAAGAAGGGAGTAGTTCACTACATTATCAAATTAAGGCCGTTTTCCGTTATTAATTTCGTTCCAATTAAGCATAATCCTCCAAACTGAAATCCAAAAAACTCCCTACAACTCTACAACACAATCAAATATACAAAATCCCCAAATACCAAAATCTCTCTCTAGTCTCTACTTCAATGGCAGCTACTAGAACATCCGTTCCTGCAACTCTCACTTTTCTCTTCTTCCTCCTCTTACTCTATACTACTTCATGTTCTTCCATGGCAGTAAGATCATCAAAAAACTTACAAGCAGCTTCAAATCAGAAGAAACAATCAAGAAATACCCAGAAAAATCAGATCCCAAATTGCGGCGTAATCGTCGAAAATTCTCTCTGCACTTCCAATCCTAAATGTCGATGGTGTCGCAGCGATGTGCTTGATTCTATGTGTACTACTAAGCCTGAAGCTTGGCGCCTTCCTTCCCAGATCTTCACTTGCGATTGAGCTTATTTCATTCATTTTCTCTCTCTTTTGACCTGTTATTGACCGATTTATTGAAGAACTTTTGGGGTTAAGGGATTGAAGTTTTTTTGTTTTGGGTTTTCAAAATTGACATTATTTTGTGTTGTATGTGGAAGTCAACTAGCTTATTTGATTCAAGTCAACTAGATTGTATTCCATCAAGTGATTATTACCTTTGTGGCTTTGTTGTGTTTGGTGTTCAATGAATTTGTTGTAGTTGGACCAGCTATTAATAGGAATTATTATTCGGCAATTCAATGTAAAGATTTGTGATGAATTTGCATATTTTGTTGGTTGAATTAATGGATAAACTTTGGATTATATATGTAATTTTTGGATGCATTATTATGAATCGGTTAAGGTTGAATCCAAAATCAATTGTGTCAATTTGTTGATGTATACATACAATATTACAATGATACAGTTGTTTTTGGATTATTTTAATTTTAGGAAGTTAGATATGCTTTACTAAATAAGGATGGTGATGTAGGACTTTTGCACTTTGTGACTTTACCCAAAAACATAATTCTATTTAACTTGTTATTTAGAGATGGCTGAAACCAATCAACATTGTACAACTAGTTGTAACATGTACATTTTAACATTAAAGCTAATTTTGAGTATTCACTTGGAGGAAGTAGAAATGGAGGAATGTCATGCATTGTAAATACATAACATTGATTAAAATATTTCAAAAATACATGGTAGAGAGAGAAAAGAGGATAGAGTTAGGAAGAGAGAGGTTTGTAGGTGGACCCAACTTTTTTTTTTTTGTCTGACGTGATAGGGGACCACATGCTGATTGTTCCACTGAAAGTTTATATAGTACCCCGTACCATTATTCTCAGTGGTACTATTTATGCATAAATCTAGTACAATTAAATGCATATATAATACCATTATGTGTATATATAGTATTACTGTATATTCAATGGTACCATTTTATCATCCAATGATACCAGAATATGCATTCGTTTGTACATGTGTATGATTACATGAATTCCCCTTGTTATGCATTTCTACATGTCTAACATTCCTTCTTTTAAAATGAGAAAATACAAGTTTATTAAATGACAAAATTGTAAATAAATCAACAACTTTTTATTAAATATGGGTCCCACTGTTGTTGATATATTTACGAAAATATCATGATAACTAGACTTTTATATTGTTTTATATACCATTTTGCCATTCGATAAATAAATTTGGTTTTTTTTATTTTTTTTTTTAAATAAAAATAAATTTTGTTTATCAAATTGATTAAGTGGGACTTCCTCTTTTAAAATTCCTCATTCACTCTTTTGTTGGATATAACAAAGCACGTGCATGAGAATATTAGAGAGGTTATGCTATATGCCTATATGCAATAGCGGATCTAAGAAGGCACAAGCGATAGCACATGCTACCCCTAAAAAAACAAAAAAAAAAATGCTGATCAAAGACACCTGTTATTTGGACAGGTGGTCTCTTTGATTCAGCCATAACCTCCGTGTCTCCGTACCAATGCTAGTTGGTTTTAGCTTTAAACTAAAGAGACCTGTTTTGTGTAACAACAGATCTCTTAGCTTATTTTTTTCTTTTATATTTTTTTACAACATGTTGTGGCTTATTTTTTATTTTTGCTTTTGCTTCTACTTTATATATGTTTACTTAGCTAATTATGTGTTCAACTAATTTTATTTTAATGTCTTTCTTTTAAGTTATGAAAAATCAAATAGAATTTATCATTTTTAAACTATAAAATAAATATATAATCATTACTCATACTTTAATTATTTTTTATTCATCGGATAATCGTATATGATACCAATTATAATTTTTTTTTAAATGAGTAGCTTATAATTATTAGAAACTCCTTCATTTGACGAAATTCTTCCCAATTTATTGCACTTTTATTTCAATACACATATTTAGTAAGTAATTTGTTTACTATCGAATAGAATTTTATATGAGTAAAGCAATTAAGAAAATTTATAGTATATAGTAGTATAATTTACCATACATATACAAAGTAGTTTTTAAACTTATGATATACGGAGACAACGGTAAACATAGAAAGATAATCTATTGAACATATAAAGTACTTTTTAATTTGATCATTGTATTATATTGATAAATAGAATATAAATAATTCCATATTTGTAAAATGAAAATTTATCAAACAAAACCAATCTTAAAATTTAAAGGCCAATTAACGCTAATATATATAATAACTCGTTTTTACCCTTTTTTCTCTTATTGTTTAATGGCTAAATGTTACCCTCACTTAAAATTCCTGGATCCGCCACTGCCTATATGGCTATATATAACCCGTTGTACCATAGATACCTTGTTTTCGATTGTGCATAGGCAACTAACATTTACCCTTTTTTTTTTGAAGGGCAACTAACATTTACTTTTTGTGTTCTTTCAAAAAAAAAACATTTACTTTTTGTTACTTCATTTCTACTCTACTAGCAACTTCATTTTTACCACCTCCTTATTCCTTTGCTAACTCAAAATCCTAGCCCTTGATAATGTTGTTGACAGCGCTATAGTTCCATATGGCACTCCCCCACTTCCTCAAAAACTACTATCTTCGTTAACTATTATTTGTAACAAAGGGGTATTATTTGTGAGATATAAAATATTATTTTATTACAAATAATAGTTAACGGAGGTAGTACTTTAATACATTTTGAAACTTTGAGCATCCTAAATTACATCATATCAAATGTAGAGAAAATTCGATTTATAATCTTAAGTTTCACCTTCAAGTCTCCAACTACCTGATAGCTACTATTTGCTTAGAAATACCCTCCCAATGTTGAGGAAATTCCATAGCTCATTTCACTGTTTAAGAGCCTATTCTGATTGATTGAATTAAGCTGAACTAAACTGAACTGAACTTATTAGAGCTAAACTGAACTGAACAAGCTCTAAGTCACACTGTTAAAAACTCATATGATTTACTTGTTCTTATTTCATTAATGAAAATATTTCAGAAATTTCATTTTCACAAAAGGAGTGTGCACATAGTATTATCAAAGATTGTTTTTGACATAATTTAGTGAATCATATCCTATCATAAATAATCCTAAAAGTATCACTTTTTATATCAATATAGAAAAGAGGAAGTCCAAGTTAATCACACAAATATATTTTCCAATATTGACTAGTTGACTACATATCATATCTCTAACCATAGTCATTAGGAAGATTTTAATAGCATACTCCTCCACAGTAACGTCAAATGGAGAGCTAAAATGCTACAGAGTACAAACTATAGAAACGAATCAAACGAAACTCATTTGTTATGTGATATTTATGTACCACTGAAGGTCTAAATATGTAAATATGAAGGAAGAGTTAGTCTTGATTCTCACTCTATCATATAAAGAAACTAAAAGAATAAAGGAAAAGTGAAAGAATATAAAGCTCCAAAAAATAATGGCTGAATATAAAGCACATTCAAGGATTCAAATAATAAAATGGTGGGAAATAACAATGCAAAAAGAGTTAAAAACTGTGATTTCATTTCTTGTTGAACTCATTACATCATATTTCTCTTCATCTTTAACATTGCTAATTGAACGAAATATGTTCAATGAAAATTAACCTAAAAATTCCCAAATCAAATCTGAAAAACAAAGCACCAAAAAAAAAAAAAAAAAAAAAAAATTAATAAAACAATTTTTTCAATCCAATAAACTTGATTGAAGATTATCATGAGCAAACAACTTGACAGCATCCCTGATATCCTTAACACCATCACAAGCATCGAAAAACCGAATCAATTTACTAAGCTCATTATCCTGTAAATCATCAATAAAAGGCTTAATTTGAATTGCATTTTCCGGCTGAAAAGAAAATGAATTCGGATTATCATCAATAATTGCAACCTTCCATAAATCTCTCCCCATTTGAGCCAAATCTTTAACATATTTCCCATCCAATTCTCTACAAGAGTCGCGGTATAGCCGATGATTAATCACCCTGTTCTTATCCAAGTTATCGAGCACCAGCGAGGCGTACTCCCTTAATCCTGCTGTAAAAATTACAATCTCAAACTTCTTTGATAAAAATTCAAGAAACTCATCAACCCCAGGTCGTTTAATGACATAAAAATCCATTGTTTCGCCTTCGATTTTCGGGCGAACCACGAAATCGAAGGGTTTAGAGGGTAAATCAGCAGAAGAATGGATTAGGGTTTCATCAAGATCAAGAAAAATGGTGGGTTTTTCAGGGTTTTCAGAGGGTGGAAGAGCAAAAAACAGAGGTTTAGCGATTTTGGTTTCTGGGGTTTTTTCAGGGAAAAGAAAATCAAAATCAGCGTTTTTCTTGAGCTTTTTGAAGCCTTGTTTCTTAAGACTGCGCTTTGGGGTGGCGATTTTGACGAGCTTTGAGAAGATTTTTACGAGGCGGCGGCGGCAGCTGAAGAATGATTCATTAATTGTGGCGATTACAACGGAGGAAGAGGGGGATTTCACCGGAGTTTTTTTCCGGCGAGAGTTTCTCCGGCAATCTTTGATTGATTTTGTTGGGGTTTTTTTGATAATTCTTGACACCATTTTTGGAGAATTCGAGGTTTTTTTAGACAGAGAATTATATGGGGTAGAGAGAGAAAGAGGGGTTTTGGGATTATGAGGAAGACAGAGAAGACACAGAGTGTTTTTTTAACGGTTAAAGAGGATTTTAAAATTTTGAGATTTGAATTTTTTGTTTGGTTCGGCTTGTAACGGTCATAAAAATGATGGTTTGGGAACATGATTTTGGTTCGGGAGTTAAACGAACCTGGATTATATATTTATATGATATGGATAACTGCTGGATTTTGATTGCTAGAATGATTTGCTCGCTTTGATGGTGGGGATGAAAAGGAGCAAAAGATTTGGTTTCATTCCCTTTTTTATGGATTTGATATTTCTAAATGAAGAAAAAATATATTTAAATGTTTGGTTAGCAAATTTTGAGAATGATTTGATAAATGATTTGGATATACATATTTGTAGTTTAGTTTGAAAAAGATTCGTGAGTTGGTAGTGATAATCTATTACAACAATAACTTTGAATAGATAGAGAACTAATTAAATCAACTAATTAAATCATATACGGTTTTTGTAAAAAAAATATATATATACAAAAAAATAAATAAAATAAAATAAAATAAAAAATAAAAAATAAAAAATAAAATTTCATACGAAGTATTAAACAAGAAGATTTGTTTGATTTTGATAAGGAGAAATATTTTAGTTCATACTTCGTAGTATGTGATCATTTAATTTATCATTTATAGTGACTTCAAAAAAATAATTATTATTTATTTATTTATTTTGATGTTCTACCCGGTTTAAAATTTAGGCTAATTCAGATTCGGGAATTAGTTTTGGGTGATTAGTTTCCAATCCCCTCCCAATTGTTGTTGCGGGAGATCAAATATGTGTCCTCCTAATCACTACTATACCGACACTCAATTGGTTGTGATCATTTCAATTTTAGTAAAGTTGTTTCCTCGAAAAAAAAAACGGTTTTTTTCACTATATACCCCATGAGTTTTTTGTTTATTCACCATATATCCATAAAATTTTTCAAATTCACCATATACTCCTAACTTGTTACAAAAATTAACCATATACCCTTAATGAAAATAAGATGAGTGGAATTTGGTTAATTATATATCCAAACCACCTTAGTTCTCTTTCTTCATCCCAAAACCACTCCTCACTTTTCTCCAGCCTTCGAAACCACTCTAAATCTCCATAACCGTGTTCGTATAATTGATTTTGAGGATGAGAAAAGGAAGCTTAGGGTGGTTTGTAAGGTGGGAAAAAAGAATGTGGGTGGTTTTGGAGGTAGGGGAATGTATTTAGAGTGGTTTCGATTCATAATTAATCTTAAGGATTGACAAAATTAACAATCATTAGTCATCAAGGGTATATTGTGTATTTTTATGAAATCTAGAGGGTATATAATGAATTTCAAAAATTTAAGGGGTATATGGTGAACAAACAAAAAACTAAGGGGCATATGATGAAAAAAGGGTTTGCTAACGCAACCTATATTTACTTGACATAACCCTTTTTTCTCTTATTTTTTCAATCCTAAAAGAACTCTGAAATTTAACTTCCCTCATCTTTCACCTGAATATAAAATTTTAATAAAACCTTTAATTAGAGTTATTACATTTCCAAAATGGCGAATTTAAAATACTTATTATGATTGCAATAGATAATAATATTAAGGGCATGTTCACATTTACTGAACTGATTAGAGCTGAACTGAACTAAACTGATTAAAGCTGAACTGAACTGATTGGACCTGACCTAAACTGAACTGAACTGAACTGAACTGAGCTGAAATGAATATTTTATGAGAGAGGGAAATTAGGAGCTGAACTGTGAGAGAGGGAAATTAGGAGCTGAACTGGACTGATTGGAGCTAAACTGAACTGAACTGATTGGAGCTGAACTGAACTTAACTGAACTGAAATTAAGTAAATGTGAACAAGCTATAACTTGAAAGATATTGAAACTAATCTAATTTCCGCTTTTTTGATCTATTTCATGTAATACGAGTGAAATAGACTAATCTATAATCGGCTTCAGTGAACAAAGTTCGTGTATCTATATTTCGTTTGCATTTTTTTTTTTTTTTTTGTAAGGGAGAGGGGCAAAGCCCCTAACGAAGAACAAAAACACTAGCAAACTAGAAAGAAAAAAACCACAAACAAAACAAACTAAAAACAAATGACTACAACAAGAAATTAAGCTGCCATAGCCGAAATTAGATTAGGCAAAAATAATATAACTTTAGTGTAATAACTTTGCTAGTCCCTAAACTACCGTGGTAATTTATCAAGTTTATATTTTAACATTAGAAACTTGGATAATTTGGCAAAAATAATTCCAACTTTTGTCCGTACGCTCAAAATAATCCTAATTTTGTATTTTTTTCATTCATTCAAAATGACCCCAAGTAACTGGTAACCTGTTAAAGAGGTATTTTTTGTATTAAGTACATGTGTCAGCGGGATAGGTTGAAAAAAAACCCACACAACTCCATCGGCCACCACCACTCATCTCGGGCTCTCGACAACTCTCACCATTTTGACAGCCAGCCTACCCCCACTCCCGCCGACCTTTCCCTGCGCCGGCACCATCCCCACTCCCACTCCCTCTACCCACTAAACCCACCACCCGAAACCCCCAAATACCCAACCCGAAACCTAAAAAAACCTTCCCCCACCACTTTAAACCCCAAACCCGACCCTCTCTCACCCTCGGAACCGTGGGCGACATAGTTTCGAGGGTGGGGGAGGGCAAGATTTGGAGTTTTGAAGTGGTGGGGAGTGTTGGGTTTGAGGTTAGGGGATATATATATATTTTTTTCAATCAATTAAATAGTGTGTAACCAAATTTCTCCAATTAAATAGCACGAAGATGCGAAGGGCCGCCTCATAAAGATTGAGTCAAGACTCTAACACCACTCCCGCATTTGTAAGCCAATCAACAGCTTCATTGGCTTCACGATAACAATGGTGAATTGTTACCCTCCAACCAACTCTGCCAATCATACTCTTGCACTTACGAATAATGTGAAAAAAAAAGAACTAAGGACAGTAGGATTTGTTAACAGCTTCACAACTAACTCCGAATCCAAGGTAAACTAGACTTTCTTGTGTCCCGCATTCCACGCAACAGCCAAGCCCCACATAACACCCAACAACTCAACCTTCGTGGAAGAACACAACCCACATCTTGTAGCAAAAACTCCGAGGAGCACACCCATGTGACCCCTGATCATCCCACCACACCTATCAGCATCTGGGTTTCCCTTAGACGCCCCATCCATGTTAAGCATAACCTAATCCATTATAGGAGCAATCCATCGTACATAAATAACCTCCTTTCCCCTCTTTCTTTTACCAGTTAGCATATCCTCATGTTTCATAGCGTCTTGGATACATTTCATCCTTACCATAATAAAACTATTAGGCTTAAAAGGCATGTCCACCTCTCTACCAAAGCATTTTTTGTTTCTCCACCTCCTTAGCCACCAAAGAGTTACTAAAAAAACTACATGCCAGTCTTCCACCCAAGGTAGATTTTCGGATTTTCAGATTATGTTCAATCCACTTAGTAAGCGGTTTTCCAAAAATATCCTCATTGTTGGAAACTCCTAAAGATGTGCTCAACATTTCCTTCAATTGCTCCACAAATAAAACACCTCAGATTATCAGTCAAGTGCCTCAAAAATCGGTTGGAATTTGTCTTCAAGTGGTCTTTCAAAAGTAGCCATAAGAAAAATTTGATCCTCCGTGGGTTACGAATTCGCCAAAGCTAACTCTAGAAACCTAAAGGTTCATCTACCTCATCTCCTCTAATAATCTTAAAAGCCGACTTTATTGTAAATCCACCTAAAGCTTCGTCATTCCAAAAACTTGATCAATTGCCTCTTCATCTTCTTGCAATTCAAAAGAGTCAATAATCTGGAAGATGTCAGGTGGAAGATCATCATCTAAATACTTATCTAGCTCAGATTTGGCATCCACATCATCTTTTGTAGCTTTAAGTTTCTTGTATCTAGCCCTTATTATTCCCTTATTTCCTATACTAGGCTCACCATCTACTCCACTAGAATTTGAACCCCCACTCTGAGTATTAGCTGAATTAGTTGTCACTTGTGAGCCCTTGTACTCATAATACATATCCTTAAAGGCTTTCTTGACTCTTTTGCATACACTTAAAGCTACATCATTCTCATACATTTGACAAATACCATACTTCACACAATCCCATTTGTAATGAGGATCAAGTATAGCAGAGATAAACAACATTACATTCAGCTTTTTAGGATCACCCCAATATTTTTCACACTTTTCTTTCATTTTCATAGCCATATTCTTAATATTATCATCTGAACTAGCACACCATTCCTTTAAAAGACAATCTACATCAGAAACCTCATGAAAATAAGCATTATAAGTCACATATAATGAGCCAGAAACATGAATAGTCAAATTATAAAAAACTTTCAACAATATTATCAGGTTCTGAACATGATCCCAATCATTCGACCTAGGTTTCCCTAACCCCTTTCCATAACCATCCACATCCCATAAATCATCATTATAATGTGGGTCTTCATCATAATATCTCTCTAAAGCATTTACATATTTCACAACAGTGTCTAACATCAAATAAGTCGAATTTCACCGAGTTGGAACATCAAGACACAACATACTTTGAGTTGAAATTTTCTTTTCCACGACACATTTTTTAAACCTTTCAACTCTATTTCAAGATGACCTAACAAACCTTATTGCATTTTGAACACGATGTACAGAATCATTCACCATTTTAAACCATCATTCACAACCAAATTCATTATGTGAGCAATAATACATCGTACATGCAAAAAATTATCCTCTCAAAACACTTGTCCCCAAATTGTTTATTCTTTTTTTCAAATAAAGAATAGCTGTATCGTTAGAGCTTGCATTATCAACTGTAATAGTCATGACATTTTCAATACCCCATGCAAGCAAGCATTTCTCAATTGCCTTACCAATTACTTCCCCTTTATGACTTGATATTTGACAAAAAATTAATATTCTTTTGTTTAGTTTCAGTCATTATCAATAAAGTGGGCAGTTAGACACATATAATTGATTTTTTTCAAGGAAGTCCATGTGTTAGTTGTAAGACATACTCTTCTACAATTGGTCTTTAAAAAAATCTTCAATTATAATCTTTCATCCATAAATAACTCATAGCAATCCCTAGCAACAGTAAATCTTGAAGGCACATGAAATTTGTTCGACAACTGTGAGAAAAAGTATTTAAATCCTTGCCCTTCAACAAATCTAAATGGCAGCTCATCTACAATTATCATATAAGCTAGTGCTTTTCTACACTTATCATAATTAAAAATCCAATTTTTCACATTCCCCTCAAGCTCTTTATCTTCATTTATAGAAGATTGGAAAGATAATTGAGTTTGCTTAGGCCCTGGATCAGTATGTTTGTTGTTTGGATTTTTTTTAAACATTCTTCAAGTGTGATCTATAAGTACTTGTGCCATTACCTTTAGGTACACATTTGTAAGACAT